TTTAATACTATTCTTTTTATACTTCAATAAAGCAATGCTTAGATAGCATTAAAAATAACAAACATATATTTGTATATGTATAATATATTATGTTTATAATACCCTCTAGAAGGTCATAGAAAACAAATCTATTTAACAATAAAATGATTTTAATTGACCAAAAACAAAAAAAAAAAGAAAAAGTATATTGAAAATGTGTTTAAATTTATATCCGACTTACAGTGCGTATACGAGACATGCGCATGTATACGCCTATGTGTGCGCGTGCGTGTGTGTGTGTGTGTATGTATTTGCAGGCAGTTTATCAGCTGCCATAACAATGATGTGCTATTCTTTATGAACTTAACATTATGTGTGAAAGGCAAAGCAGATGAAGATGATGAAGAAGAAGCAGGCGCAGCACGCAGTGGCAGTGGCAGAGGCAGAGGCAGTGACAGTGGAAATACAATACAAATAACAATAACAATAACGACTATATCAACARCGACAAGAACAGCAACAACAACATTAAGAAGAAGAACAACTATAATAATAATAATAATAACAAGTTGCGTGAGACGTTCTGCTAGAATGTGTGTACGTGTGTGTGTCTGTGTGTGTGTAGAAATTAATAAGTTCCAGTTAAAGACCAACTGAATCATTTGTTGTCGCACAATCAGACAAGCAAACATAAAACACAGATGAACACAAATACAAACACAAACACTGGAAAACACACACACACACACACACTATCGAAAAATAAAACAGCTGCGAATTTGATGTCCAAGACGGAATTGGAGTGAAGAGAGAGAGTGTGAGAGAGCGGCCAGGAAGATGGCGAACGGCTGTTCGAGTGCAAATGCGAGTGCGAGCGAGAGGGCCATACAATATTAGACTATGCAGAAATTGAAACGATTTGATCAGTGAGAGAGGGAGGAGATGAGAAGGAGAGAGAGACCCTTTTTAATAGCTTAGCGGAGTTGCGTTAGCTACTGCATASGTATGTATGTATAGGAATTTATGCTTGGGTATGACCGACTACAAGACACCCTGGGCTGCATATAACTTTCTATATGCTTTTGGGTATGCTCAACTAGAAGATACCCTGAGCAGGGTATGACTAGAATATACCTTAAACTGTATACATATGCTACTGTATATACATTAAAATGTGCTTCAGCTGGATATGCACGAGTAGAAGATACCCTACGTTGTGTGAGATTGTGTATATAGCTCATGCTCTTGGGTATGCTCAACTGATGATGCCCTACATATGCTAGTGCAAAATCGATGATCTGAGCTGCATATTAGCAGGGTATGTCCTGCTAGAGCTCCATTTGATTATGCATATGAAGTTAAATGTGCTCTAGATGGGTATGCTTAACTACCAAATACCCTGAGTAGCATATGGAGATGTATGCTCCTTTCAGTTGAGTATGTCCGACTAGCATATAGACTCAGGAGTAGAGCTAGCATATAAAGAGGGATATATTTCTATTTCTATCTGTCCGTCCGTCCGTCTCACCTACTCCGCGGCAAGAATACGTCTCACTCTGCTTGACAAATATATATTTATTTATCGCTGTATGAAGGTTTATATGCAAATGTATCGAAATATAAAGATGATTGCTCCTGCCTGCCTGCCAGCTAGTTAGCTTTTGGCGATTCACTCAGATCAGGTCAGATCAGATGGTGTAGTATGACGCTCCGGAGACGTTGCCTGTCAATACCTTTATGGCATTTTCCGAATCAAGGGAGCCCGTTTTGTTTTGGTTATTGTATAACTCTGGTGACGTCTCTCGGCGTTCGGCCTCATGGCGGCAGCGCGGTCGCCGCAGCACATGGGCAGTAGCATCATCCGGCTTTTCGATGGGCTTACGCGGATCCTGGAAGCCCAGAAAGACGTCCGTCTTCAGATTGCGATATAGCGGTACGGGCAGACAGGCCGCGTAGAGTATACGAGTTTTTTCATTGAGTTTCCGTTTCTTTTCGATGGCTTGAATGTGTCGCGACTCCTGCATCAGTTGTTCAGTCTCTGAGTCATCCTCTTCCTCCACCTTCTCCTCCTCCTGCTCTTCGGAATCGTCCGTTGACGAGGTTGGCGTCGGCAACTCCGGCGGCTCACCCAAAAATGCCTGCTGCAAATACTCAGAGGGCTGACGCGTAAAGGACAACATCTCACAGAATACCAAATCCTGGATGGTATAGAAATCACTGAGCACATGCTTCACATAGCTGGCCATCAGGCCAGTGTAGGCGTCCGGCCAATTGGATAGGGAGAGTACACACCACAGCTGATACGAGTGGACACCGAGCGCCACATGATTCATTTTCTTCTGCAAATGCTCGAGGCTGCTGAGCAGCATATAGTTCTTGCGGTATGTCTCCATTACCGCGGGCAGCTCCCATTGGGGCGGATCGAACGGATGGCTCCGGCAGAGCTGGGCACAGCCCCAGATGTAGGGCAAGACGTTACGCTCTTCGACCACATTGCTGTCGCGCTCGCGACTGATCGTCAGGCGAAAGAACGAGGTGAGGCGGCGCACCAGATCCAAATAGCGCTGGAAGAGCAATAGGACGGCTGCCACAGTATCATCGGCACCCAATATGCCCGACTTGAACAGGCTGCACAAATAGAACACGAACATCAGCTCATGGCCGGGCCCATAGTCATACTGCTGTAGGCTGCCAAACGAACGGGTCAGATATTGGGCCAGCTCATTGATGTGCTTGCAGTGGGGCTTCACCTGGAGCTCCAATATGGAATAGACCCGCTCCTGGACCAGCTTCACCCAGTGCCGGTACGCCCGATGGCATTTTTGGCGCAACGACAATGTCGAATCCATCATATTGATCTTATCATTGCCGACGCAGCGTAACAAACCATGCCCAATGCCCAAGGGATGGCATTCCTGAACCAGACGCTCCAGCCAGTTGAAGATCTTGCTCAATTTCTCCATCTGCCTGGTGACGACAAAGTCTTTGCTATTCTGCCGGTGACCCTGTATGGCCATGCTGGTATTATTGATGTACGTGATCAAATCGTTGTAGGCGTGCGAACGCTTCCATTTCCCTAGATCCGCTGGGGAGCGAACCGGCTTCGAGAAGATCTGTTGAGCGAATGACGTTGCCTTCAGGGCATCCTCGGTGGGATCGTCCACATCGTGTATACGTTTGCTGCTCATCTCAATGTCGTATATGCGCATATATACACACACATATATATATGTATATTCATATATATATATATATATATATATGTATGTATATATGCAGTTGAATCGAAATTCAATGTGTTATGGAATGAGTTTTGATACCGAGCACAGAGCCTACTTTTGAATTTTCTATTTTCCCCCCTCGTTGCCTACAGCCTACTTAGTTAAATTTAAATTAACAGTTAAAATTAACAGTTGACGTAGATTAGTTGATCGGGCTGCGAGTCTCGGTCTCATTTGTGCACTTTCTCTACGAATCTTTGGTCAAAGGCCAGCTCTGTTAATGGCATGTTACGTTGCTGTAACTGTAACAGTGGAGCTAACAGCAGCAATAAAATGGCAGTCAATTTCTCTGTCTCTCTGTATTCGATCTCCCCCTCTCACACTCTCCTTGTATATCTTTATCTCTTTCACTCTCTCTATATTACCTTACATAAAACGTTCAATTCTTTTCTCATTCCTAACGCAGTCTCTATATCTTTTTCTTTGCATATTTATTTTGCTATCTTCTCTGTCTATTTTTCTCCCTCTGTCTCCCTCTTTCCATCTTTCTCTTCCTTTCTACATCTCTATTTTTCTTTTCTGCGCTCTCTCGCTAATTTTCTCTGAGTAACTCACTCACTCTCTTTTTCTCTCTCTCTCCGTCGCTCTCCCTCTCTCTCTGAATTTGTTTTCCTTCTACTCCTTTTCTTCTTTGCCCTATTTTTCTCATCTCTTTCATGTTCTCCTCTTCTTTTCTCCATTTGCTCTTTCTTTTTTACTCTTCCTCTTTCGACTCCCCTTCCTTCTATTCCCTCTCCGTCTACTCCTTCTATTTGTCATTATCATTCTCCTTCTACTCTTTCTCCGATCACTCTTCCTCTTTCTAGTTCTCCTCCTATTTCTCATCATTCTAATCCTTCCGTTTCTCATTCTCCTTCTACTCCTGCATCTTCTAGTCTTTGAAGTTCTCTTCCTACTTCTTCTCTTTCTCTGTCTTTTTTTTTCTCTTTCTGTCTTCGTCTCTTTTCTCTTTCCCCACTCCCTCTGTCCCACCTTCCCATGCAATTCTCATAAGTTCTAGCTATGCTGTATATCATTTTTTTCTATTTCCCAAGAAAACATTATTTTTGATTTAGCTAATTAAATGATAATATAAATGCTTTTGTATACCTGCTAACTGGAACTGGGCTCTCACTAATTATGATCATAATAAAACTGAAAATAAAGTCATATAAAGTTCATGCAGTCAAATATCCCTCTCTTTAGAATATATATTAGGAGTGCTCCTATCGCAATTCGCTCTCAGTCTCTCGCTCTCTTTCTCTCTGTCTTTCTCTTGTTCTCTGTAGTGGCTACAACTGACGTAGCTCTGCCACTCAAAGTTTAGATAGCCCGATTTGAACGACATGGAGCAGTCGTTCAGTGAGCCCAGTGACAAGATCCAGTGCCAGCTAGCTAAACGTCCAGTAAAGTTGTGCCTGTGCGATCCCTGATATATATCCATATATAATTGATTTCTTTAAGCACTTATCATTACAATGTGTATAATATGAGAAATCCGCTGTGGTTCATATTTTGGCTGATTGTATTGATCTTAGTCTCGTTCTTTGTGGCAATTATCGGAGCATTCTTCTACATTTGGGCATATTTGTTGGCACAATGCTGCAGCTGTTTTCGGGTGAGTTAGCGACGAGTCTCTACTGTACTATATCAATAATAGTATTATATTTCGTGCAGAGTGCCGCCGACTTCTTCTTGAAGTGGCTGCAGTTTCCAGGGTATTCTGCGGCCGCCATGCTCAATTGCCAATCGTTGTGCTAGGCTCAATAGTCGCCTATTGAAACCCAACCAATATCGAAGTATTTTCTGTTCATCGGCTCGCCCCAGCTGAGCTGGGCCAAAACACTTAACGCCCACATCGATGCAAGACAATCAGCGAGCGGCCAATAGATTAGCCTTTCAGATAAGTTCAAATGGGCTTCACATTGTGAACAGGGCACACAGACATGTTAACGATATCTTAACTTTTGTTTAATTTTCTTTATGTATATATAGAAAATATAAATACTTATATTGCATGAATCATCCAAGTATCCGTCACTTTGAAGCGTTTCTGTTGATTGTCTCTATACAACTTTCTTATCAAATATATTAATATTAAAAATTGTGTATTATTTAATTAGTCACAAAGTTACTATTATCGTATTATTTTTTTTATAGATATAAGTATAAATGTTCAATAAAATTGGTCTGCGTCAAGGGAATGGTATGGTGTAGTTAGTTAATCAGTGAATATATGAGAATAAGGATATGACATAGGGTCTAGAATCTAATTATAAATATAGATCTAGAATATTGGATATAAGAGCTTGAATCTACGAACTTTAACTGATTATCTATGATCTAGAATTTAGACTCTTCGATCTATTATCAACGCTCAAGAGGAATATATTATCTATTATCTGATGTTTTTTATTCATTGATATATATGACCTATAAATTATAATCTAGGATTCATGCTCCAGTATCGTTGATCTATGATCGATGATCTATGATCTATAATCTATGATCTATGATCTATAATCTATGATCTATGATCTATGATCTATGAGCCATGAGCTATGAGCTATGATCTATGAGCTATGAGCTATAAGCTATGATCTATGATCTATGATTTATGATCTATGATCTATGATCTATGTATGATCTATGATCTATGATCTATGAACTTTAATCTATGATCGATGATCTATGATCTATGATCTATGATCTATGATCTATGATCTATGATCTATGATCTATGATCTATGATCTATGATCTATGATCTATGTTTTATGATCTATAAGCTATGAGCTGGAGTCTATGATGTTTGATCTATAATCTAAGATTTTCAGCATAATAATATATGTGATTTATGATAATACGATCAGTGCTTTATGATCTTAGGATCTATATGATATATGTTAGTTTTTCTATAGCCAAGAAACCAGTTCAAGGCAGAGGAACTGCCGCCATTGTTGATCAAGTCTAAAAGACTTTTTATTTATATTTAAGTTAACACTCATTCTTGTTTCTGGTCATTCTTCTACTAATCCGATTTAACCAGGGTATCTGCTAGTAAATCACACTTCGAATCGAACTTTGAAGCATTCCAACTTTGTGCACTCGTAACTATGCAGAAAAGATATGATTAACGTCGCCCAGTTAGTTTTCAATGACATCATGAACTTATCAAGAATCTGTAATCTATATATATGTATATTTATGTACATTTATATAAATATCATTTTGAAAAGTCATTAAGCTAATGTTATCGGGCAGTGATAATGTCTCAAGAGCTGCAAGGCTCAACGATTCGTGTAGATGCATAGATATATATACAGAGAGCTATTGAAGTAGATTTGCATATACATATATACATATGCATATATATAGGTAGATATATATAATATAATCTTGATATAGGTGCTGAGTGGATAAGGTGGGTGGGGCGCATGTAAACTATGGATCATTGTGGGATTAGCGCTTTTTCTTGTTATTACTCTTTTTTTTTTTTGCAAAAAAAAAATCTTGAATTTATTTATTTTGCTTTGCTTTGCTTTGGCTTTTGGATCGCTGCCAAATTGTGAAGAGGAAGAGCAATTATCTAAAAATAAAATGCGCTGCGCTGCGCTGTGTCGGCAATAGATAGAGAGCTAGAGCTAGATCTAGATAAATACATGCATAGATACACACACACAGAGACACACACACACACACACATACAGCAATGCATGCATGTATTCGCCATGTATATACACTTGTATATATCTATATGCATATATATCTATGTATATGTATCTGTGCTCGCTGCTCTGTGCTCTCGCTTAGCATCTATGAAAATACAGCTGGGTGTGTGTATGTGTGTGTGTGTATTCCATACATATATACGTACATACATATGTCTCGTGTGCCACGCTGTGGAGACCGTGGGCGCTTGTACAATGCCCTGCAGCAGCAAAGCGAACCGAGCAACTGCTGCGATTGCGGTTTTAGTTTTTAGTTTTTAGTTTTATTTTATTTGTTTTCGGATCTTGAATACTCTAACTGAGGCTCCTATTTTGAGCGTGACTTTAGCTGTCGAGTGTCTGAAAATGTTTTCCATAAAAAATCCGAAAATCTAACTTTATACCAAACATTGATGCCCAAGCCAAACTTGAATCTCAGCGAATTGAATGTGTAGCTCCTTTGGGTAGATCAATAACTGTGAACTAGTTCAATTCGGTTGGAGCAATAATACTATACTAATAATGATATGCTAAATATCATTGATCACAAATATAAATATATTAAATATGATAAATATTTTATGATATACCAAG